TTGTTATTCTGTAGATAACCAATTTTACATACTTATAAAATAAAAAAATGGAATGAATATAACCTAAATAATTAAAATGGGAACTAAAGCAAGCTCCTCTGTAAACAATTTCAAGCATGTTTTTGCATCAAGCATGACAATTGGATTTAATTGTATTCAAAGTTGTTTTTTATTTTTATGAAAAAATAGAAAATTTCATATCTTACACTACAAAAACATGTACACAAACAAAATGCACACAGAACATCAAATTAAAAAAAAGAAATAAATACAGCAACACTATATCTATGCTTTCTACAAGTTAAACTCTCAGGCAAGGAATTGAACTTTTCTATTGGCTACCACAAATTATGAAAAGGTGGACTGAGTCACTTTTGACCTGCATGGCACCAAAGGATATTGATGAGAATATTAATCAAAGACTGAAACTCAATGTAACTCTCAGGCTGCTATTCATGTAATTCACATACTTATTAAAGACTAATTTTAAAGCTATTGTAGTCTAAAGATTCACAATCTTTTGACCACTGGGATGTTTACACACACACACACACACACACACACACACATGTATATACATATATGTGTATGTATATATACATATGTGTATGTGTATATACATATATGTGTATGTATATCTACATATATATATATTCAACACTGAACCAACACTAATTTACCTGTCACCTTAGTTTCCTATCTTGTAATATTTAGAGGGATTAAATAAATTTTTCATTTGATGGTTGTCAATCAGCCTTTTTATGTTAAGTGATTTCTTCTGAAAGCAATAAGTAGTTGTCCTGAACAAGAACCTTAGACTAGTCATTTTTAAAAAGAGGTTCTCCTTTATAGATGAATAAGTATGCTATGAAAAATAATTTGGTTATCTATCAAATGCTTTGACACTTTACCATAGCAGCAAAATGTACTGGACAATGTAATCCACCTGGACTAGAGAGTTGGACCCAAAAAACCCAAACCAATCGAAAAGAAAACACATGACTTTCACTTATTCCAGTTATAAACTACAAGAAAGTTAACATTTTAATTCTGATTATTTTACATCATCATTATCTTACTGTACATGAATTTATCTTTAGGTTAGACATCTACCAAAGATGACAGAAGAGACTGCTAACTATGGTGTTTGATTTTCTCTTTTTTTTCTCTTTAGTATGAATAAATGAGTTCAATTAACTATATAATATAATTACCCAGCAAATGACTACTACCTGATATTAAACTTACTTATTTTTGCTTTCTATACACTAAATTGGGATAAGTCCAAAAATGCCTTCCAAAGGCAAATTTTCTCATCCTCTGCTTTTTATGTCACGCTTTCGTGGGTGAAATTGTTATGTCTATTTTGGTATTGTTTTTTCTCAGATTAAGATGTATCATAGACTAATAGCTATATAAGTGATCAAATGAAACTCAGTGGGTTTTTTTAATGTTGCTATATTCAGAAGTGTTGTCCAATTTCTTTACATGGATTTAAGGGCAGTAAGGATGCTTTCTTTTGTCTTATAGTTTACTCTTTCCAGTAGCTACAGTTATTAAGGCTAGCTCACCCTATGTTTTAAAATTCTAATGGAAATGCAATTCCCACAGCATTGTCTAACTTCCAGAAAACTTTTATATTGATACATATTTGATTTCAATGTACAGTAAGCAAGGACAAGGTACTTTACGGAAACACAAACAAAAAAAATTCAGAAACAGAAAACAACTCGAACTCTTACATTTTATATACACAATGACATACTTTACCATTCAAAAAAGAGCAACTCAAATATGCTATAGTACATTTGAGCCAAAGGCAAAAGTCAAAATCAAGCTCTGATTAATAAAAAAAAGTAATGGTGAGACTTCAACAGATATTGGTGAGCTATTGTCTCCTCCCCGTGGTGACTCCCTTACAAAGTACAGCAGTTAGGAAGATACAAATACCCAGAAGATATTTCTACTGACAGCTCTAATAATGTTATTTATTATTTGACAAATCTCCTTTATGTGCTAAAACTATCATGTCTCAATTTTCTTTGCAATAGCCTGGTGGCTGACCAAATGAAACAATAAGATGAGGAATCACGCCATCAAGATTTGTAAAACCTTCTCCTGGTCTTCCTGCCTCACTGCATTTCATGAAAGCTGTCCATTCAACTCTTTTCTTTTCTCCATTTCTCACATTTATAGATGAGTTTGGCACCTTTCCAATTGGTGCTATATCCAGGGGTGAACAAATGCATTAGCAAGGCTTTTGTTCTTACTTTCATGACTACATCTGATTTATGATGAAAACCTCCCTTTCTTCTTTCCAGTCAAACTGACAATTTTTAGAAACCCTGTACAAAGTTGGCATGTCAGAATGAGCTTGGTATTTATGTGGTCATTTTAAAACATTCATAAAGACTCCTTCATCTAAAAACAAGTTCAAATGAATGTCAAGAATATACAAGTAGGAAATATTTTAGCTGATTGCATGTATGTATATGTGTGTATATACACACATACACATATATAGTGCATATATATCTATGTATACATATGCATGTATAATATAACATTGTAATTCTTGGCACCCATGAGGTTCCAATCCCCTTTCCTTCACCTTGGCAATTTTTTTTAAATCAATAAAGTTAAGTCTCAACTTCATTTTGCAAATGACTCTCTGGATCCAAAGTAGTAGTGTGGCTGTCCTACCATTCAGGAGATTATATTAAATAACATAAAATGATCGAATATTTTTAACAGAGATTAGAATTGTCTCAATTGTTACTTTTTCACTCAGATTCAGTTTTAAACAAATCCAACAGAATTAGAATTCCAATTATGTTTAAAAATTAAATTGTCCAAATTCCATTTCCTCAATCAAAATGGGTAAACTAAAACAATAGTTTTAGCGATTATAACCTATTAACATTGTTTTCAGGGGGGAAATAATATAGTGAATTTTATGATAGTTTCCTTAAATATCCAGGAATATAAATGGAGCCACAGTGTTTTAGAAAAATTATACAGTTCACTCTTTTTCATTAAATGTATTGTTAACCATTTGCAAATAAATGATTTAGGCCCTATACTTTTCTTCCTTTTTCCTCCTGCCACATGGCCATGTCACATAAGTAGTAGTGTGGAAAGAAAAAAAAAGACCATTAAATATTTCTATTTTTTCCCTTGGTATCCAAATTGGGAAAGAAACCAAATATTCTATAGAAATGAGGGCCTTATATTCTCTCTGCGTGTCACTTTTTCAAGCTAGTCTAGTTTCATTTACAATGAATCTAGAGTTGATTGTATCCCAGTTCCTTTCTGTTCTCCTTACATATATAGATTACTCCAAGTAATGCAATTTATTATGATCAGCCATAAATCAATAACATAAAATGTATAAGCTTTTAGGTAAGCCAGTTTGCATGATCACACTTCCAAAGATTTTTGGGACTATCTTACATTATTTTGGATCTGCTTTTGCCAGTCATCACCAGATGTGGTTTCCTGGATTTATACATTTGACATTTTCTTCTTGCCTTTGAAATAACACTGAATATTTTAAACAAAATTAAGTATTTTCTTGTATACAATTGCTACAGAACTGCATTCCCCAAAGCTTCATTATAACATAACAGAATGAGAGTTGGAGCTATGATATAAATAACCAATTATCTGCAAATACAATTTTTGGAAGACATAGGTCAAAGGAAATCCTGGAGCAAAATATATGCCAGTTGTTGTTCCAGTGCTGCCTTTATATCAAAATTACTGTGGCAGAGCCACAATGGCACTGCTTACAAAGGATTAACACTTAGAGGTAAATGCTTAGTGCTGTGCCCATGGATTTAACAACATTAATAGGAACTCGCACAGTTAAATCCCTCTACATCCCACTGACAATGTGCCCTTTGGTGTCAACTTTGCCTGACAAGATATTTTCAGTGATTCCAAAAGGTGAAATTTCTTATGTTGGAGCAAGATTAATGGCTAGAAGAACTGCATTGTCACAGATATCACAAAGTGTTTTTTTAAAAAGCCAAAGGGGATTTAATCTTATAGACATTTTCTGTTAGTGGATAGATTTAATGACATTTGGACACATGGAGAGAGGGGGGAGAAGACAAACTTGTTTCATTTTCAGTTGTACTCTTGCTTCTCTTATGTGCATTCTAAATGCCTAAAACTGGTTCTTCTATGCTGTTAGAATCAAAACAATGGCAAAAATACAAGCAGAGTATAGCATACACAGAATCCCCATTATGACCCCCCACCCCCAACCCAAATGTGTATCTGGGTATGTAGCAAACTGTACATAATATACAGACATTTTCAGTAATAATATCCAGAAGAGCAAACTAAACCCAATTTTATAACACAGAAAAATAAATATACACCCTGAATTGTATTTGCATTAATCAAGCAATATGTTTATACACTAGTCTCTATAACTTAATGCTGTGTAACAGCATTTTAAATTTATTAAACAAGATATCTATTAAGAAAAATCTAATCATATTGCTCTTCAATACACTTTTGTAGACAATTAAGATGTGAAGTAAACTTCAGTAAACTGCAGCTTTTGTTAGCCCACAAATGGCCACAAAACCATTTCCATTCAAGTAAGTCATTGGAAGTATTAACATGTGCTGCCATAAGTCAGAATATAAAGGTGCTTTATATATATTTTTATATTCCATGTACAAAGTGTCGTGGGAAAGATTTTGTTTTTGCAGAAGCATAAGAAAATGGTTAACCTAACCATGAGTATAACCATTTCCTTGTTTAATGCATGTTGTATTTTTACTTCATGAAAAATGAAGACAGAAGAAAGTAAAGGATATTTTCATCAAATACTGGTTACAAATTTTGTGGCTAAGGTCCTTGCTTGCCTTAGTTTATGAAATCAGTTTCTTTATTTTTTTTCTGTTCTTTTTGTCAAAATAAATCTCATGGCTAGTTTACAAAGTGCAGAATTAATCACTTGAGGAAGTGACGTTCAAACAGAGTTATAATGGCACCATTCCATTTACCAGCTGGACCTTCATTTCTTGAAGGCTGTTCATTATCTTCTTCTGGTGACCGACAAGAGTCACTCCCAGTCGTCTCAAATCCCTGCATGAAGAAAGCACATATTGGGTGGATATATTTATTCAATTCGTTGTATATCTTAATACTTCACATTGATTTTTGCACTGAGAAAGTGGCAAATGTTATGCAGAAACAGATTGTCATTTCAACGTTAAACTTTGGAGGTCAAATTTTCAAAATTGTGTCTGGAAAATCTTTCTTGGTGTACATATTCTTTTGATAATACAAAAAAATGTACTTCTAACATTCTGTAGTAGTTGAGCATGAAATTTTGCACATGCTGACATAAATTTAAGAGGGCACAATTTCCACAAGATAGTTTTTAAAATGTGACCCCATAAAGGACATTTTTGCTAAAAGAAGTAAGCAGAAAACTTTTTTTTTTCATATTTGGATAAGAAGCTGAATATCCGTCTCCATATTTAGGTGATATTGGATGCATATTTTTTTTCAATTCTGTATATACCTTAATATTTAACACTGATTTTTGCACTGAGAAAGTGCACTAACAGATTCAGTCAATATGGACATTTAATAAATGTTATTGTCTAATATACATTTATGATTACAGTGCTTTCAAAATATTGTCAAAAGTTCATTTTTATATACAAAATGAAATACGAATGCTTTCTTCCTTTACCAAATAACAAGTAAAATACATTGACATTAAGAGCATCATGAAGATTACATAAGAGGAGAAAGAATTTTCAACCAAGGGGATATTTTTTATGATCATCTGTTAATCAATTTTAATAGTCAAAAGCACAGTAGAAATATTCATATTACCATACCAAGCTAGCACATTATGAATAGAACTTGAAATCAGAGCCCACAATTCTTTCAGATTATATCATAGACCAATCATTAATTCTATTGTTGTTAGAGAATGATTATCATTCCTCAAAGGAGCAATTAACAAGTGAATTGGGTAATTTTAGATAACTTTGTCACCTTAAAAATCTTATGAACCTATTAAATCCTTGGAACATTCTACTATAATTTTGATAAGTACTATATGAATTAAGGAAAATAAATGAAACTTTTATCTGATACATTTTTGTTACTCTCAATATTATTTTTATTTTTTTATAATTATTTTTGTTGTATGTAAAGCTAGCATTCCATTTTGAATGGCATAATAATGAAGGCAGTCTAGTTATGAATAATTTTAGCAGTTTTAAATATCATACCTAACAATTTTCAGTATAAAAAAAATTTGGAAAAGAACAAAAAGGACATCCTGAAGTTGGTTTGCATTAGTATAATCAGATGTCATACATATTAATATTCAAAGGTATTTAATTTTATTCTACTTCCCTTAATACATGGGTAACAGGAACTGTCTATTACAAGTAGTAAGAAAAAAAATGGGACCAATTTATCACTGGGTTTGAAACATCATTGATCTCCCTGATGAATCTTTACCAGATAATGGAGGATAATTAATTTTAAATTATCTGTATTTATGTTTACTAAGATCCAATGTATTCAAGTGAGAGTCATAATACTAGAATAGAAGATAAAATGTCTCTAGTCCTCATTCTCATTTCCAAAAGAGTTTTTAAAATTCCATTTGTAAACAAAGTAAATTTAATTATAAAATGAATAACTCTACTATAAAATAATAAATTCTGTAGCTTCATGGTGTAGTGGAATTTAATCAAGGCCTTGGTTTTCATTTTCATTTTAACACTACCAAGTTGTGTGCTTACTTCCCTTTAAAAGGAGGCAGGAGAAATGGGTGACTTTGAGGTTCTTTTCATCTTTCCTTTTGTAATGCTGGGTGGCTAGATGATTCAGTGAATAGCGTGCTGGACCTACAGTTAGGAAGACTCTTTTTTGTGAGTTACTGGCTTCAGACATTTACTTGCTGTGTGACCCTAGAGAAGTCATTTATTCATGTTTGCCTCAGTTTTCTCATTCATAAAAATGATCTGGAGAAGGAAATGGCAAACCACTCCAGCATCTTTGCCTAGGAAACCCCAGATGGGTTCAAGAAGAGTCTGACACAACTGAAAAATGACTAAACAATGCCTATGATGTCATGAAACTTTGTTGCCTTTACCTATGTATAATAAAAAATATATATTAATTAATTTGAAAATATGAGTCAGATAAAAGGAAACCTCTTCCTCTGGCTATGCAGTTGACCACAAAATCTCAGATTTATGGGAATTTTAGATTGAATGCTAACTTTGCTTACTTCTCTTGAATACAGGAGATACCATGTACAAAGGTGTTTATGGCTATTCAATCTCAGATATTGAGAATATAAAATTTGTTTGGTTTATGCAAAAGGTATGTCTAGCAAAGATAGATGAACTTTTGAGGAAAAAAAGGCAAATATTTTTTAGGCAATTGATGTTAAGTGATTTGCCCAGGGTCATACAGCTAGTAAGTGTTAAGTATTTGGTCTGAGGCCAGATTTTAACTTAGGTCTTCCTGACTTCAGGGCTGTTGCTCTATCCACTGTGCCACCTAGCTGCCCCTTAAAAAAAAAGACAATTTTTAAAAGCTCTATGACTCACTACTCTGAAAATAATCTAGTGCTTTCTTGTACATTTTATTGAATCTCTTAAATTATATGTTAAAATTTAAATTCTGTAGAGTTCTATAATTTCTAATGGCAAAAGTAATTTCATAGATGCCATATTTTAGGGAGATATAAAAATATATAATAATGTTAACAGTAACAATACAACTAATAGCTAAAATTTACACAGTACTTAATATTTTACAAAGTCCTAGAATTACATTATTTCATATATTCCTCACAACAACCCTGTGAGGTAGGGAGTACAAATGTTATTAGGCCCATTTTGTAGACAAAGATACAGATATTCAAAAAAGTAGACATACACAAAACCACCTAATAGCCCCAAAGAAACAAAGTATTTATTCTCCTTAAGTACTTAAATTGCTCTATGTTCACCCAGTACCAAAAGTGTTAAAAAAAAACAAAACAAAACATAGATCTACATACCTACACTATTGAGTTAACCAACTGAAGACTTACATCCAGTAATAAGTTTATCTATTATTTTTCCTTTATAGAATTGACTATTTTAGATACAGATAGACTTACTTTCTGTGACTTACACTAGGGGGAGTTAAGTTCGATTCTGTATAGAATCTGGACTTTCAAGAAATTTCCACATCTTGACAAGAGGGATTATCCTTAATGACTTTATATGAATAATTGTTACAGATCTGGCTTCCTTGCTTATGGAAGTAAAACCTGCTCTTCAAAGCATATAAAAAAATTTAGGTTTTATTTTAGAGGCATTTCCTTCCTTCCTTCCTTCCTTCCTTCCTTCCTTCCTTCCTTC